ATGATAGGGTTGTTGTTTTTTTCTTCTTTTTTTCATTTTCATCAAAAATTTCCATGGAGAAAAACAGATAAAAATATTTTTTGACCCTCTATAGTTAAAAATGCAGGACCGAAAATGGTCCAATAATAAAAAATAAATTAAAAAAACCCATCTGGATAAAAAGATTTAAATGTGTTGGGTTTATTTGAAGTGGAGAGAAAAATAAGAAGGATTTCAGGGACCCAGCATGTGGTGTCTGAGCTCAAACACATCTCAGACAGAGTCTCAATTATTAAGAGATATGAGTAAAATATCTACCATTGTCTGGTTCCTATCTGTATGTTCAGGGAAGTGTCTGAGGTCTGTACAGACCCTACAGTCCCTTACTCACATGAGTAGACCTCCTAACTTCAATGGGACTATAGTACACCCTCTCTGTAACGAACCCCTGGGGAGGTTACAGAGCTCCTTGGCCCCAGGGCAATGGCAGGGAGGGAGAGGTCCTCCGGCCCAGGGCCTGTGGCTGGGGCAGAGTGCTCCTCCAGCCCTGGGGACACAGCAAGGAGACAGAGCTCCTCCTGCTGCGAGCCCAAGGCCAGAGGAGCACTCTGCCCCAGCCATGGGCCCAAGGCCAGAGGAATTCTCAGTCTCTCACCGCAACCCCAGGGCTGGAGGAGATCTCATCCCCTCACCACAGCAGGCAGGGCTGGAGGTGGGATCCAGGGACCACATTCACTATAGCTAGGGCTCTACCAAATTCATGGCCATGAAAAACGTGTCACGGACCTGGTCTCCCCACATGACATCTGGTCTTTTGCATGCTTTTACCCTGTACTATACAGATTTCATGGGGGAGACCAGTGTTTCTCAAATTTGGGGTCCCGCCCAAAAGGGAGTTGCAGGGGGGATTACAAGGTTATTTTAGGGGGGTTGCGGTATTGCCACCCTTACTTCTGTGCTGCCTTCAGAGCTCAGCGGCCAGAGAGCGGCAGCTGTTGGCCAGGCGCCCAGCTCTGAAGGCAGCAGCCTATAAGTAAGGTTGGCAATACCATACCATGCCATCCTTATTTCCATGCTGCTGCTGGCAGTGGCTATGCCTTCAGAGCTGGGCTCCAGGCCAGCAGCTGCCACTCTCTGAAGGAAGTGCCGCCACCAGCAGCAGCACAGACTTATGGGTACGGTTGCCAGGTGTACAGTTTATGCCAGGTTGAAAAGGGTCCCTGGCAGCTCCGGTCAGCACCACTGACCAGGACATTAAAAGTCTGGTTGGCGACGCAGTGGGGCTAAGGCAGCAGCATGTCCTCCCTCTGGCTCCTACGCGTAGGGGCATCCAGGGGGCTCCACACGCTGCTCCCGCCCCAAGCACTGGCCTTCCAGGAGCTGCCAGATGTAAGCACCACCCAGAGCCTGCACCCTTGACCCTCTCCTGTGCCCCAGCCTTGATCCTCCTCCTGCCCTATGAACCCCTCGGTCCCAGCCCAGAGCACCCTCATGCACTCCAAGCCCCTCATCCGCAGCACCACCTCAGAGCCCGCATCCCCAGCCAGAGCACCCCAACCCCCTGCACCAGCCCGGTGAAAATGAGTGGGTGAGTGAGTGAGGGCGGGGAGAGGGAGGGGGGGATGGAGTGAGCAGTAGTGAGGCCTTGGAGAAGAGGCGGGGCCTCGGAGGAGGGGAGTGGCCTCAGAGGAGGGGTGGGGCAAGGGTGTTCGGTTTTGTGCGAGTAGAAAGTTGGCAACCCTAAGTAAGGGTAGCAGTACTACACCCCCTCCTACAATAACCTTGTGACCCCCCCACAACTCCTTTTTGGGTCAGGACCCCTACAATTACAACACTGTGAAATTTCAGATTTAAATAGCTGAAATCATGAAATTTACTATTTTAAAATCCTATGACTGTGAAATTGACCAAAATGGACCGTGAATTTGGTAGGGTCCTAACTATAGCCCAAGCCTATTGTGCAGGCCATTATAGCGAGGGTCTGCTGTACTTGCATGGGTAAGAGTTTGCAGGAACCCATAGTAACAACAGCTAGAAAATCCAAATCTTTGTAGTAATAATATGGCCTTGAATTATTGTCTCTGTATAGTACAGAACATACGGGAGGGAAGAAAAGACATTGTCACATCATTGATCCCCAACTGCTGCAGCTGTCTCCCCTCATCGGGCTGTGCCCACCCATCCACCACACTCTCCCCCAATATCCTGATCTGAGGACAGCCTGAGAGAGAGGACACAAGAAACTGAACTATTTAGTGGCACTATTACCTAAAACTCCAGGTGGGGATAAGATGATCATGACATAGATAGATAGGCTTTATTTGCTGCCTTAAAGAAAGGAAACAATATGAAGCCTGCAGCATTTCTAAATGAGCTTTAACAACAAGCATCCAGATGAAATGAGATGCACTAAGCTCCAGATTCATCTATTGGTTTTGCAGAACCAGCCCTGCTCAGCTGTAGACAAGTCTTTGAGGGCTGCTGTGAGCACTCTAAGTCTTGAGTACTTGGAGCCTCTGGTGCCCTCAACTTTCTTCCAGATGTGGTGACTGCAAATTCTGCTGCTTGTGACACAGACTGAGCATCCATAACTCCTGGGTTTTCTGTCCCTTCATCAGCCTTTGAGTTTCTGCCTCTACTCTCCCCAGCTTTTCTCTGAGGAACTTTTCCCTGCTTGGTTCTTGCAGAAGGAATTGGTTTAGACATTTTAAGTGTGGTCCCCAAAAGTTTTCAAATAACTTCTCCAGCGTTAATTCTGATTGCAGCTTTTTCCTTGGATAAAATACATTCCATGATTATTACTCCTTTTAAAAAGCAAATCTCAGTTCCAGACACACCATGGTGTCTCTTGCTTTCCCCACAATTCCCCCTACACACACACACACACACACACACACACACACACACCCTCCCTATATGTTCCCTTCGGGAGGTATTTTTCTCTTGTCTCCCTATCCTCTCCATGTTCTCTTGAGGGTGAGAGCAGCAAGGAATAAAACGTTTGTGACGAACCATTTATACCCATTCACACTACTCACCCTGCATGCCTCATCGTTACCTTCTGGTCAGTGCTTTTGGAAAATAGCTGTGTCTGGAACTGAAGAGTCTCACAGTCTCAGGTATCTGCTTTTTTCTTCCTTGAAGTGATATTATGTCTACAGTTTACAGCATACAGACACAGTATCTTTCCACTTCCCTCCCTTCTCACTCCATCTCTCCAGGCCACACCCACAAGCTAATGCCATTTCCCGGATCTTTCATGAGGCTTGAGTAAGAAACGAAAGTGCCCAGGGATATTTACTTGGCACAGAGTTGTAGGAAGAAGAAGCAGGAGGCTGCTGTGATATCATATCGGTTGAGCTAGGCTTGGTCTCCTGTATGTAGAAAATGGAGATGAAAATATCTCTCAGGGTGTTGAGGATTAATTGGTTAATGCATTATGTATGCAACACTTTGGCAATGTAAAGCACTATTAAGTGCTAAGTTGTTTATTATGATCATCATCATCATCTCCCTCATCCATGATGCTATGGCTGCAGAAGTGGCTGTGGAATGATGTCTCAAATTTGTAAAATCTCTCTCTATCTCCATTTATATCATGCTGATCACCAAGGAGTCTGAGCACCTCAGATCAAATCCCAACTGCAAAATGGAATATGTGAAAGAAAAATGCTTTCCTATCTCAGGTCTACGTCTGAAGGGCCCAATACTGTGTGGTGCAGAGTACCTTCAAGTCTCCTCATATTGTGATATTACCCAGCCCCCCAATTTAAGATGGTTGCCTGTTAAATCAGCTGTGATTAATTTGCACTAGGCATGTGACACTGACATGTGACAGTAGGCAACCAATCTGGCAGCATCACATCATCACCTGAACATACAAGTCATTTTAATTAATCTTGATACTTATGTGTGGGGGTTTGATGGGGAGGTTTGCTGGTGACAAGGGACTCTATGAAGGGATTTGTCATTGCTTTCATATTCCCCCACAAATATATGAAAACTGAAATATACTGTAATGTAACAGCCTTTTAATGAAAGAATTTTAGTTGTGTTTGGTATATTTTATACTGCATCTTTATAAGATGTATAAGATCATCAGCCTCATGTCCCACTGTCCTGCAGTAGCTCAAGAGCATGGGTGCCATCCTCAGGGCAGACTGTTAGGAACAGCGTACAAACTCCAAACTGGTTGTGAGGTCTATATTTAGATTTCACCAACCAAGTATTAAGTGTCATCTCCTCAGGCACTATAACAGCCTAACCATGGAGGCACAGACAGTCGCTTTGGGTACTCTGGTCTATCTTGTCACTTAGGCAAGCTTGCCTTTGCGGTAGATGGTCCCTTACAGCATGAATCACAGTAATATTCAGTTTACTCCCCATCCCAAAGGACCAGTCACTTACCCCAGGTCAATTGCACTTAGATCTCACACCAGAGACAATGCTTGTCGACAATCCTATAATAAAGTATCTAAAGATTCATTAAAAAGGAAACAAGAGAGTTATTTACAAGGTCAAAGCAGGAAAACATACATACGCACAAATGAGTTAATCTTAAATTTCAAGAAGTAATAGGAGCTTCTATAATAAGCAAGATCTATATGTCCTTTAGGGCAAACCCAGGCTAAATACAGGGGATCTCTTGCTTATGCCTAGAAAACTTACCTTCGAGAGTGCAAGCAGCAAAGAGATACAGTTCTCCTTGTTCGGGGTTTTTATCTCTTGCCCCCCTTCTACTTTGAGTTAACAAACTCAGCTGATGGGAGGAATTTGCTTGCGCATCTCTTCAAGGATGGGGGAGAGCAATCAGCAGTCCTTTTTGATGTTCCACAATAGTTCATCTGGTGTCAATGGGCCTTCCTTGGGGGGTAGGACATAACATCTTCTGTTGGAGGCCAGCATTTCACACTAAGTAATGTCTCTCTCCTGTCTAGTGATTTACTATTTACAGAGGCTTACAATGCAGATGCTCAAATATTACCTTACAATGCGGGATACAGATGTTATAAGTTAAATTAATACAGGTAGCAACTTACACATGTTCCATAAAGTCTAAACACTAAATATATTTTTATAACTCTAATATCTGTTTTAACAATGCTAGCATACAGCCAAACAAGGCTGATTCCAGCCATGTGTTCGCTAGTATTCAAGCGAGGCATGGGGATCTTGGCATCAGCTGACACTTGGTTTGCCAGCATCACACCTAGAAAACAAGGACAAGTACTGCAGAAATTAACAGTTTGTGCCCTCGAATCCAATCGTGCTTGCCACAGAAATAGCTCTGAGACACTAAGGCATTCTGTGCTATTCTCCTTCCAGTCCTAAACTGTTACATAGTGTTGTAGTGTGTTGTTAAATAGCCCTGGAACACACTGCTACTGTCTTGTTACCACTGTGGGCAAGGCTCGCTCCAGACCATGGTCCCAGAGGGGATTGTATTACTCTTTATGCGGTAGTTTCCAGTCAAAGTGTCATCCCCTCACTCTCTTATTTCCTTTCTGTTGCACAACCAGTTTACCCATTACTGTCTTCACATCTAATCCAGCCAAGAATGACCGGGACATCTCCTGCGACATAGGGCAGAATGGAAACTTGCCGTCTCCCTCTCCACAAAATCCAATCTTTGCCATAGGTTGGGAGGCAAAGGAAAGTAGCTTCCAATTTTCTGCTTAAAAACACAAACAAACATGAATTCAGTGCTTGTGAAATTATCCAGGTTCAGAGACCTGGCGAGCAGTGACTCTAGAACAGGTGCAGCCCAGGCAGCAGCCCAGAAAGCCACAGCCACACCACTTCAGCGTGGGCAGCATGGAGGTGACCCAAAAGATATGTTTTTTCTCCCCTTTCTGTGCTGTGATGTATGTGTTCAGACTGTAGATGCTGCCTCTTCCCTCCATGGATCTGTACATCAGAGGCTAGAGATTTCCTGCAAAGAACGAAAAGAAGTAAACCTGTCCCTTGACTTGCATTAGAAAATTTTCCTGGGAAGCAGCCTGTGTAACCTCCATGAATTAAACACAACAACAATACCAGGCCTTTGGAACTGGTTGAGGATTAATGACCAAGTGGAAAGACGATGGCTTGAGACAAAGTTGTGGAATCATTAAGTCCAGCCCTCCATTTGCTCCCTAGGAAGTTTTTCTGTGCCAAGCAATCTCTATTGCTGTTATAGGCCTTCCTTTAAAAAACTAAAGAGAAAATAAACATTATAGTGCAAGTCTTGTCTCCCACAGTGCCAGTGCTACTCCCCAGAGATGTGTGCAACTTTGAAAAGTGCTGCTGCTGCTATCACAGTGCAGGGCCTTTGAAATCATTGTCAGCACAGGGCCTTAGGAACTGATGCCTAGAATTTCTTGTGCTTTATATAAATTGAGACACACCCATAACTTGGCTAACACTGGCACCCTCCTTCAGGAATGCTTGAGCAATGTACACCCAAACAAAGCAGCTTTTGTTTTGGTTGAAATGGTTCATTGCAGGCACCGGACACTTGCCCACCACCCAAAGGCATGGACTTCTACACCTCCTTTCTCCTCCAAAACACAATACTCCTGGAGTCTAGAGAGACTGTGTCTTGGCCACTCAGGGTAGGTCTCCTGAGAACACCTTTGTGTCTGTGTTATTTGTTAAAATGAACATTAACATTTGGAGTTGCATACAGCCAGAACAAGATGTATGCACACATATACTTAGCAATACTGCTGCTCAACAGACCAGGGCAAGAACAGGAGGTAGCAGACTAAAAGGAAGGCAGCAAATGCTTTCAAAATACTAAATGGAGTCAAAGGGCCTGATTTTGATCTCACATCAGCTTTTCACTGGTGTAACTATGGACAGCTATTGCTGGTTTACACCAATGTAAGTGAGGGAAAATCAGGCCTTCACACATTTCTGCTCTGCACTTTTATGACTGGACTATTTTTGTAGCTCTCCTTTAATCCCTCATATCTGTCTCCCTCCCCACCCCACTAGACTATTTTCTTTCTGTTCCTCAGCACCCCCACCAAGGGCCCAGGGCCCTGCCTTTCAGCGCCACTCTTCATAACCATTTCCCTGAAAAATTTATAGATTGTGAGCTATTTAAACTGGAGATTGTCTCTTCCTATGTTTGTACGAGAGGGATCCCAATCCCGTTCAGGATTTATTGCTACCACAAATAAATAATAATAATCCCTAAATTATACACATACAGAATGAGGATGGGATCATTTCATTGCACCAGAAGGGTTATGTCTTCTGTTTCTTGAGTCTGCAGCAGATGATCGTAGCCCTCTCACAAGACATGGTACACCTACAATCTTACATACAGCCCTGCATTGGGGCCAATCCTGTAACAGTTGCATGATGAGAAATTTTTCTGTTGCATTTTTGGCCAAAGTAAGCAAGCAATCAGTAGAATTCAACTGAATCTTTTATTCAAGCACATTCATACAGTCCCCTCCCTGTGTTCTTCTCCCCTAAAGTCCGCCTAGCATCCTCAAGCTTATACTGCACCCACACAGCACTAGATATAACACATACCTGCTGCAATTTGTAGGGTGAATTGTCACAAGATCCACAGCCAAGCAGGAGTTAATAAAGTC